TTTAATATTCATCTCTGTTCTACTTGCTTTATTTTATTAAACATTCTATCTCTCTGAGGACATTGTGACATTTTAATGTTTTCTTTCCACTTTTTGCACTATTTTTACATCCTATGATGTACTTTTTTGTTGTTGTTGAGTTGTTTCCTCATGTTTTCCTTCAAACTCTGGAGGTATTTGTTGTCTCCCTGAGTCTGAGGCACAAAATAACTACCCATATATACTCTGTGAGATACAGGTTTTTAACATGTCGACTTTACAGTAGCTTAATCTGTCTTCTCTTTGTTTCTTCCTATATTTCTTCCTCTTTCCTTTCTCCACTCCTTTCTTTCCTTATTCATTCTTTTTATTATACTAACTAGAGGCCCAGTGCACAAAAATTTGTGCACTCGCGGGGGAGAGGGGGTCCCTCAGCCCATCCTGTGACCTCTCGCAGTCTGGGACCGCTCGGGAGATAATGACCTGCTGGCTTAGGCCTGCTCCCGGGTGGCAGAGGGCAGGCCCAATCCCTAGGTGCAGCCCCTGGTCGGGCTCAGAGCAGGGCCGATTGGGGAGTTGGGGCGCCGCCCCCTGTCATGCACAGAGCAGGGCGGATCGGGAGGTTGCGATGTCACCCCTAGTCATGCTCAGGGTAGGGCCGATCAGGGGGTTGGGGCGTTGCCCCCTGTCACACACAGAGCCGCAGGGCGATCAGGGGATTGGGGAGCTCCCCCCTGTCATACACAGAGCCACAGGGCGTTCAGGGGGTTGGGGCACCTTCCCCTGTCACGAACAGAGCAGGGTGGATAGGGAGGTTGTGGCCCCGCCCCCTGTCACACACAGAGCCTCAGGGCGATCAGGGGGTTTGGGCGCTGCCCCCTGTCACACTGATCCCGGTGCTGGGAGGCCTCGCGGCTCCGCTGATCCTGGTGCTGGGAGGCATATTACCCTTTTACTATATAGAATAGAGGCCTGGTGCACGGGTCGGGGCTGGCTGGTTTGCCCTGAAGGGTGTCCTGGATCAGGGTGGGGGTCCCCACTGGGGTGCCTGGCCAGTCTGGCTGAGGGGCTGAGGGCCATTTCA